GTCAGAAGTGTGGGTCCAGTTTACACAGCTTCTGGAACTTGAATAGACGGTGTTGTAACGAATTGTCTGCATCGAACACAATCGAACAAATACAAAAGTACAATTAGTTGTTAAATTAAGTCCGATGACGACAACTACTACAAATCTTTCTACTGTTATAAAATAAAATGTCCCCAGTGCACGTCATATCTGATACAAGACACAGGTGGACATATTCATATTTACATAGAAATACACCGTGTTTGCATGTTTCTAAGGAGGAATTTCGTGACTGTCACATCCCTTGATTTATTAATTCCGCATATCTGATCATTATATAGGATAACTCGGCAATGATTAATGTTTTTCAACCTAAAAAGAGGCATTTTAACGAGATTTTACCCTCAAATTACCAAATAATACGGAGGCAGTTTACACCTGATTCACTGCCGCATCAAACAATGGAGATAATAGTTGGATCACGAAAAGCACAATACAAACACTTACTTCATTTGAAATAATGCTAAATTAGAGGTTATCGCTGAATAAATGTCAAATTAACGGGGAAATTGTCTCTTTTATTGTAATTTAATTGCTAAAAAACGAAGACAAAAGATAGTTTGCTTGAGAAAATGTCATATGCGTGGTAGAGATCGGTACATGTATTTCCATGACAACCGTGTATCGTGACCACTTCCGAACAGTGACCATTATCAGGACACAGCGCCCGCTGCGGTATTTGTCCGGATCTATGGTGCCACAAGGTCACGCATGAACTTCACGTCTCTCAGACGCAAGGTAGAACAACTCCAAATAATAAATCACATTTTAAGTCGTTATAATATAAAATATCGACTTATTTTCATCTCGCTGTCCAAGTTGATGTTATTGTTCAAAATTGTTGCAACACGAATAACATTATATGCACGACCGAAACCACACGGTAATCTCGTGTGATATAAATATATACTTTCACTAAAATTATTCATATTGCATTGGACATATCATGTGACCAGCGTTTATTGTTAATGTATACTCGCTAAACCTGGTGAGAAGTGGCATTGATTAATTCAAACAAAAATGTTCTGACTGTTTTTTTTGTTTTTTTTTACATACGCCACACTGTGTTTCTTCTTTTAGTTTGTGAGCAAGTTTTTTTGAACCAATTTATGTTTATTTATTTTTTTTACAACATTTTGATGTTAGTATAAATTATATAATCAATAGACATGATAAACGCGACATCGCCCTCACAGTTGGTTCGTTTGCATTATTAATTGTACCTACCATGTTTTTCAATTGTAATCGCCAGGGAACACAATTACATGACAGGCTAACAATTACATTTTTCTATACAGCCGAATCATATAGTTAATCTCGAATTAGACATTAACTTACTCAATATGGTTAATAGACAGTTTTACGACTCCCTCTGTGTGCAAATGTCGCAACTTTAAACGACGAAAATCCAGTTTGTTTGAATGTATAAAGAAATTCGGTGAATCGGAATTGTTTTTATTTTCATTCAAATTAGTCAACCAAGACATTTTGAAAGGGCAAACCTTTGTATTAATACCTCTATGATAATCCTACTACACAACAGAACGACTTGGTTGGGCAGTTAGGATAACCACAATTTATGAATGAGTAAACGTTTTGACAATGTTTATCAGTCGTGTTTCTCTATTTCTAATACTGCCACGACGTTTCTGTGTTGTATGTTTGAAGAGATCTGTCACCATCCTCACCCATAATACTGTGTTTGGATTTGGTATCGGTTAATAACATTCATTGCCAGTCTGACTTGTGAGAAATTACACGTAAAACGTAGGGATAATCTGTTAGGGATTTATTACGTTGAAATTCTTGTATGAGCGATAGACGGTTGAGGGCGAACTATACAGCAATTATGATACTTAACGCCCGTAGAGGGCGTATTTGACGATACAAACGGACAAACAACCCAATTTCTGTTGATGTAAATTGGAATTATAGAGTACCATCATCACGTGTCGACATTATTTTTCACAACATTAGAAAAACATTTCTTCTACATAGTATATATCAGTATAACATCAGTAAAAATATGCCACAAGTAGATGGTAGTTAGCAATCATAGTCTTGTAAGTGTTGACATTAGTATGATTTTGTAAGTGTTAACACTATGAATTTTTAAGTTTGATTCATAATATAATAACAGTTGGATACACGAACTTGGATTTCAACCATCAAAATTGATGATACAAATTCGATGGCATGGTGGCATTGTGGATATACATATTCCGCACCACAGTGAACATTGTAGATCGTGCGATCCTTTAGCGAGTGACCTCTGATTCACAGACACGTCTTTTCCTCAGTGTCTGTCTGATACTACGCACGGACATCTCAGTGTTTTTGAATGTTTTAATTATTAATAACTAATTACAGAATGATTATTTTTGAAATAGGTGTTATTTGCTTTCCAGTTCCGCTAATTGTAGACAGCCCTGTGACTCCCATTGGACCACACGTGCAAATTATAATTCACAGGCGAAATAGTTGAAAACATGTAGTCTAGGGCATATCGGACTTGCTCGTTTGAGATGCGCCCTCTGTAGATGGCGACAACCCAACACACGCCTGACGGGTCCGTGGTACATCGTGGCCATTTCACAATGTAATCTCATCCTTACAATTAATTAAATACAAATTTAGTATATTAGTCTTATTTTTGACTCGTTGTTAAAAAAAACTCCGTACTGTGGTATTGGTGATATATGAATTGGGTGCCATGTGATCCGTGGTACATCGTGGCCATTCCAGGATGTAAACTCGTTCTTACAATAAATTAAATACAACATTAGTATATTAAGCCCATTTTGTATGATATTTCCATTGTGTGCATGCGACGGAAAACTTAATATATTGCCAAATATTTTGATTTCAATTATTTTCATGGGATACCAAATTTAGTATTTTTTGGCAAATTTGTAATTCATTATCAGTATCAGTGTGTTTAAATTTCCGCGAATTAACATTATGGCATTTTACGTCTGTCAAATATCGGCCAAATAAATACGTGGAATCATTAATTACTAAAGACCTGGCGAAGAATTAGAAATTACTCCAAATAAACAAATGTCCAATTCGGGAACAGAATAATAGTATAATTGGTTATTGATGAAATAAAAGGGCGCCACCAGACGGTCTGGCTTAGCAAGTGCGTCGTGTTTCTCTCATGAAGTTGACGCTGATTGTGCACAAAGGAAGCCGCTAATCCCGCCATTGGATGGCGGCACGTCGGGTATGTGGTGTTACAAAGGACGTGGAGATGATCCGTGGTACATCGTGACCAATAATAAAACGATTGGTTGTCCAACTGTGGGCGTGTCTTTTATTTCTGCGCTAAATGTACAACACCAAAGTTCCGCCATTTATTTTTCATGGTTGTTCGACCATAGTCGTCTGCACCAGTATCACTATCACGAGTTTTAAGTTTGGTTTACTATGTTGGCCGCTCGACACCACCGCCTCTCTCTAGATAGTGACGCCCAACTCGGCGTCCAGGGGAAGAAATCTACTCACGACGCCACGCCACCTCGACACCTCTCCTTCCTTCCTTTTAAGATAACGAATAGTACGCCAGTCTGTCGTATCACAGGGAGCCCAGGAACTATAATCAACTGTAGTACGCGGTGTTTATGAGCGGGGGGAGGGGGGGGGGTTATCGGCTGGTATCGAGTGTAAGAAATAGACAAGGGATGAAGGCTCCAGCCAGCTCACATTTTTTAAACTCGAAAAAACAGACGAAAAGAATAAAAAATAAAATCTAAAAAAAATACCAGGTTGAAGAATATTAGTTGCTCCTTCAAATTTTGCCAAAGCCTTGCCTACAAATTACCGATATCTGCAGAATAAATCAAGAAAACTACACAAATTGACTCCATTTAGGAATTCCTAACGGTTTGCCCGAACGCACGGCAAAGTTTGGAGGCGTGGCCTGTAGCATTTGGCAACAACCAATCACAAGACTGGTTACGAACCAGTTGAGCAAGGCTAACCGAGTCGTGACCTCGATGTGGTTACACTGATAATTACACCATGGCAGATACACCGATCGTCACATAGCGATAAATTATGAATAAAAGCCGGACACCACGTTATAAGTGTCCATAGAATAGAGGTTGAACAAAACAGTTATATTCGTGGGTTGATCGTTCAGTCTATTTAGAAATAAAACATGGCACACACACGACTTGTTCTAAAGTGACATACTTGTTCCTTGTCAACCCACAGGCGTAGACGAATAGATTATAACACAAACTCAATGAAATGAATTTCATGTTAGAAGCAAATTGCTATATTTATTGTAGAAGACCAATTATAATGAGAAAGTGATATTTCAAACTACGGAAACATATGGTCCGTATTTCCTTGCATTTTTACAACGTGATTTTATTGTATCTCCTGATTCACAAAAACAAGACAAAAATATAATAATAATAACAGAGTAAAACTGTAATATTCACATACAACTATTGGTTAAAGAGTCAAAAACTACACCCTATAAAATAAAACATATCTAATATAAACTTACGTTTTTACTGAATGCTTAAATGAATAGAAAGACTTTGAATGTCAAAAAGGAAATCATTCCAAGTATTGAAATCGTAATATATGACTGCCTGGTTACTGAATATACGATGACCGAACTATTTTCGCACAAAACACGGGTCAAACATCCATGCATATGCGGATGTTTTTTGAGTTATTAGTTTCTACTTAGTTCGGTTATCTATGTTAACAGTATCATATAGTTATAATATATGCGCTTAAAGTTGTTATGAATTATCAGGAAATTATGATTAATAATATTTATTTTGTATGAAATAATGCTTTAACATATTTATCAAATGGAAATAGTTAAATAATTGTTGAATAATTCGTAACCATAGCAACCCATATCCAATACAAATTGAAAAAAACATTTCAGTTTCAGAATAAGATATTGATATAAATATATTCATTTTGGGGAAATCCGGCGATGTATTCCTTGTGAGAGTCATAAGTGACATTAACGTGGGTTATGAACAACATGAATATAATTATGTATCCAATTTCTTATAGGTTCCTGCAAGTCCAGCCATAGTGTCGGCATCATCTACGCTCTTCTTGGTCAGCTCTGTCTCTTTTATACCATACGCTTCCATGGAAACAAACAACTCTTCTTTGCTCAACAAATCATCTGTCCAGTTCCGCACTATCGATTCAAGACTGTCCCTGTGCGATCCTCCGTACTCAGTTGGAAGGATGTGGGATGGCAGTTGTTCGTGAAGTTGAGTCAAATCGCTACTATGGACATGAAACTGAAAACAATAGCAAGGAGGTCAGCACAAATGTCAAATATTTGTATTATTAATCATAACTGTATCGACAATATAAGGCTGTAACGACTAACTCGTTGACTCTGCGATTTGTCAGTGACATTACGTAAAGTATTCGCTCGATAACAACCTTTCATAGCGTCGTCTGTATAGAATTCAATGGTAGAATGCCAGGAAGTTCTTAATTTCAATTGACAAAACTAAACATTTGACGAGAACAAAGTCAGCGGTTTTAACAACTTACTTTTTTGAAACAAATGTGCCAATGAATTGAATATTCCAATGATGATTATTTTTAGTAAGTCTATGCAGATGGGTAATTTCCACTCTGCTTTGAAACGTTCCAATATTGTTCCATTTTTTTTAATTGACTGATAGAAGTAACTTTAGCAATTATAAGCTTATTTGTTTGTTGTCTTTTTTAACGCATTATTTTTTAATAAGTATAACATTCTAAGTCCGAGGAACAACGTAGTTTTATTACGGGCAGACTTACTGTCAATAAGCTAGTAAGGTATACTTTTATGCTTTTTTTTTCATTCGTAACGCCTTATAAGATAGTCACCAAGTTGATTCTATTGATCTTGATTTTTCTAAAGCGTTTTTGACTTGTTCGTTCTTAGTCTGTTTTGCATAAAATATCTTTTTATGAAATCAATAGAAATTTGTTAGTCTGGTTTCAATCATAAATATTAATAACAACAAGGAGTTATTTTAAATAGTGGCAATGCGTCTGTTTTAAGTGGAATTACGTCTGAAGTCCCACATAGTTCACAACTTGTTGTTTTACTGTACATTAATGTATGTAAATGATCTAGCCAGCAGTGTTTTGCAATATATCAATGTGTGCAGATGACGCTAAGATATTCAAATCAATTCATACTATGATCAATTTCCAAGAAGATTTACGTTGTATTCGAATACAGTGATTCATATGACAATTCAATTTATAAATCTCGCAAAATGTACATTGCTATACGTAATCTAGGCGTTTTATTGTCTATTTCGTTAGACTTTGGTGACCATGTTAACAAATGCGTTAAGAAAGCTTATAGAATGCTAGGATTTCTTAAGCGTGCATGCAGACAGCGTGACAGGCGACAGGCTATGCTACACCTTCAAAGTAGGGGTTCTCGTGCAGACTGAATAACAACGAGATCGTATCCTCGGGGGCGGAGCTACGTCACGGACGTTCTACGTTGCTAAGACGCGCACCACTGTACCACGTATTTCTATCCTCGGGGGCGGAGCTACGTCACAGACGTTCTACGTTGCTAAGACGCGCATCACTGTACCACGTAATTCTATGGGCTTTGTGCGCGCTGCTGTGGAACGCCGGTGGAGCCGGTGAAAACTCGAGAAAACAACACAAACTCAACTTTGAAGTAATCCTGAACAACCAAATTCATATATGTTACACACGTAGGGCTAATCTTGTTACACTGTTCAGGGGACTCTCATCAACTATCGCAAAGTACCGTTTTCTGCGAGTTTTTGGTCCTTGTTTTCACCGCGAGGGTTGCCAGGCGGTAGAAAATGCCCGGATGTCCGCCCCCGATGATACGATAACAATAATAAACTCAAGAGGGCGCTACGCAATGTAAATCACAGCAACTCAAAATATCGAAGCCTATGGAATGTCTATAATAGGAAAGTCTGTTACGGATAGATTTGTTGTGTATATCGTTTGTTAGAAGCAACCTCGAGTCTTGCTCTCAAGTGTGTCCCCTTCTCGTCTTTTTCTTATTCTGATTTCTGATGAAAGGTTCAAATAAAGTTCATCAAATCCGTGTGCTTAAACTTGAAGAGAAATACTACATTATACAGTTCTACATCGCCTTGTTATCCTAGTAACACCTCACCTTTAGAAGACCACAGAAAAACGCTAGATGTACATTCCTTACATAAACCTCTCTTAAAATTTAAATTGTAGTTACAAAAGCCAACGTTATCTTTGACCTCTCGTTGGGCATCTTTTGTCTCGCATTCTCAAAAAGCCAATTTCGTTTGAGAAATCTCGCCCCATCCCGTAGCAGTCACTTCGTTGGTTGGTGCTCAGAATATGTGGTTTATGATATTTGAACCATAATCCTTTGCGAGTGGAAATGTTATTTTCTTATTAGTAATGTCCACTTCATGGGAGAATTATTGAATTAATATCACCGTTGTCTGTCTTCAAACGTAAAAGCAATATTAAAAAAATAGTTAATTAGAGCAAAGCACTTACCCGTTTCCTCATTTTCTCCTTTAAAAAGGGTTTTATCATGGCATACAAACCGTCAAATAAACCAGATTCGTTAACAACGTGAATCCCCTTTACTCTTAACGGTAAAGTGTCCTTCGAAGAAAAAAACACACACACAGTATTCGTTAAGTTTTATCACAATTATACTAGCAATATAATATGGATGATGTATTGAAAACTCAGTGTCCTGGTGATACGAAGTTCGTTAATGGGATATGATCTCGCGTGACAATTATTTCGTTCACGGGATATGACATGTTGTACTTATATCAGGGGGAAATTCTTCTCTCCGGGGTTCTCCACACGTGTCAGGGGGCAATCTCGTCTCGTCTCTATATCTCGTCCCCTTGAGGTACGGGATTGGGGAAGTCATTAAGCTTTACAGTCAAATAAGACACACACAACGAAATACGTTTCAACTCTCGTCTTAGTCGATCAGTCGAGCACTCTATAAGACACAGCGCCCTGGGGAAAAATCCCCAAGACTATCGCAAGGCTGACTCAAGACTAGCCCAAGACTGTGCTTAGACTCGCCCCAAGGCTCTCCAGGACTGGACTTCGACTGCGTCTATCGTGGAGTACCCAAGACCAACTCAAACTCTCTTTATTCATTTTCAAAACTCTAACCAATTACAAAACAGTAAAAAGACTCTAAGGCGTAACCTTCAATCATGAAGCCAATCACACTAAGTACTGAATACGTCATATCTTTTGATTAATCGTTTACTACATTAATAACCACGGATACCAACTGTCAGAAATCGTAGTCAGAATAGCGACGGTTATCTCGTAATTAGTTCCAAATCACTGAGCCAAGTTCCGTCCAAAACTTCAAATAGGCCTAAACGACGACAGACATAACACAGCAATTCGCTCGCAATCAGTTAATTAAGTCGACCAACAGATACGCGAAAACTAATTCATGACACTTACTTCGTTCGCGAGATATGTCAAATTATGTACTTACTTCGTTCATTTGAAATGTCATATTAGGTATGAATGATGTAATATTACGTACTTACGTCATCCATTATATATGACATCATATTGTACTTACCGCGTTCATGATAGGCGCTGTTCTTATTAGAAAGCGAGGCCCAAATTGTGTCATGTGGTGAAGTCCGAATCCTTCCATGTCGAATATATCCACGATTCCATTTATCTGAGTTTCTTCATTTCGAAGATGTAGATCACACATCATCATTTCTATTTTCGTTATATCCCATGCCGAATACTTCTTCACATCCCAGTTACCTAGTATGACGTAATGTTCACATATGCAAATATTAAAATATGAATTTCGAAATTGTACAAGTGCTGAAGCGGCAATATTGTTTATGATATCATATCTCTGGGTGCCAACAAGCTATACTGTTCAACTGAATATTAAGCAAGGTCGTGTCATAGCTTGTGTTTGTATCTGAACCTAATGATACTAACCTGGACGTTCAACAATCACTGATCTGCCTTCGTTATCACGTGACTCCAACATGACACATACCCCACTTTCTATCAACTCTTTCAAATCCGATGGCCTATAGTTGCTAAAAACCTCGGGTATACTCGTTCGCATTTTGCACCAGTTTTCCAACAACTTGCATGCCCTGTCAATATTAAACTTTCGCGCTCGTAAGAAACCCAGAAGAAAAACAGCATCAGTTGGACAGGTAATATCAGGGCGTGATCTGACCATCTCAAATAGTTTCTTTAAACCAATTGTACGTGATTCCTGGGTTTCATTAAGTTCTCTTCTGGCTTTCTCCTGTAGTTCGACGCTCAATTTACACTCATAAACAGGTGGTGTAGACATTTTAATCTGAAATTATAATTTGAAAATGATTATTTTCCAGTAATGAATCGAACAACTGAAATTTGTTAGAATGTATGTCCACTGCTTCTACACACCAGCCACGGATGGCGGAAGCGTTCTAAGGATATCGTTATATGGTTGTATGCCTAATATAGGTATCCATAGTTGTGTTCACGTTACACGAAGTACGGGCTAAGAAATAAGCTGATTTAGGCTTGACCCAATTGCATCCACGCACAGGGAGGGCCAGTCGTTAGCACGGGCTAAGGGGTGCCATTAGTCGGTGACCTTTGGTAAGCCGCTATTTACGGACGAAAAATGTATCGAGTTGCGTTCACGCACAGCTCCTTAGCACGGGCTAAG